ATGCTTCCACCTAGTCCTCATCATCCGATCCAACTAACTCATCGATCCCGGTGTTCCTTTCTTTCATAGACCCCCAAATGAATCGAGAAGGTAACTTTTTCCTGGCCTCCTCTTTGAGTATCTTTTTGAGTTTACCTATGCCAAGCAATTCGATGTCATCCACCTCATCATTGTCATCTGTAGGTCTGTTGTTGTTAGATAGTTCTACATCGCACATGTGATTCTGAGCCATGGTTAAGAATGACTGTAGCGAAGCAGGTGTGATGTTATGTGGATTTGACTGGTATATCTCCTTCAGGCCAGAGCGCTCTTTCATTTGTTGGATTTGTTTGCGTAGCTTATGATACATTGACAGGATCAGCAAACGTGAATAGAATTACAATGATGGTGTCATCAAACTGACTCACCAAAGGAATAATGATCGAGAACCGAGACATCAGCCGGTCAATCTTGGTACCTTGGCCCTTTGGTCGGATTCATAAAATGAGTCAGCTATCGGAAAGTTTGAGGCAAATACTTAATGAGCGCGTACCGAGTTGTTGAAAAAGTACTTGAGCCAATAGTTTTGTATCTCAAGATAGAAATCTTTGGCTACCCAGTGTCCAACTCGGCCAGAGGTAGGAATGAGAAGAGAGTGTTTGATGGCTTTGGCGAAATTCTTAGGTAAGTACTGTTCCAGAATCAAGATGAACCGTGGGAGGTGGATAGCGTAATGAGAAAGGCCGGACACCCCCTGAGCCATCACCGCCCACTTCTTCCACATCAACATCACTCGCCCGATGTCCCCTGCCCTCATAGCTTGATCACACTCGACGATGCTAGCAAAGTCACGCAAACGTAGCTGCATGTTGTAGATGGTCCAATCACCAGCTTTCGAAGCTTTTTGCAAAGCTTCGCGAGTGAAATACCTATTATAACACCTGTCAATCATCGCTTGAGATACGCCGGGCGTATCAAATTGCACGTCTTCGGACTCAGACTCAAGAGTTTGTCTGTAGTAGTACAGCAAAGTCAGAGATCTTTGTGTCAAAGATAAGAAAGACCGTACATACTTCAAGAGGAACACCATTGTTGCGGTGTGACCTTTGTGAATGACTTGCATTAACGAGTTAAAATCTTGCTGGGATGGCTGCTTATCGGTCTTCATTCCGAGAGCAGCAGCAGTGCGATGCAAGCCAGTATCTGATGAATCATTCGGATCACCCCAGTGGTGACTCAATACCTTACTGGCCACATTCCATAGTGTGTGTGACAGGCCAGGAAGGTTCAACACATTATCAAGAGCCTCTTTGTTGTGGCCTGCCGGAAAGCGTTGGCGGATCAGCGATTCGAAATTCAGACAAGTACCCATGTCGCCCTCGATGACTTGGAGAGAGTGACTAAACGACGTGGAATCATGACCGGTCTGCTTGTTACACTGCTCAAGCATCTCAGCGACCCCAGAAGCTGAATTATCTGAGGCGCTCATCATTTTCAGCATTGAGATATCGGGTGTATACATCTCGATTGGGTCGATTGGGGGAGGATGCGTTTGCAGAGCCTTTTTGGAGCAGTCGTATCCTGCAGAGTCCTTCTTGATTACATACACTGTTCCCGTTGAAAGCGCCGTCGACGTCGAGGGCGCAGTGGGGTGTTGCAAGAGGTTGCGGGAGCATCGAGGAGATTTCGAATGGCTGGTCTTGGCTCTGGCGTATGTATTTGAGGTAGCTCTTGACGCTGGCCTCAGCTAACGTATGATCAGTGCATGCTCATTCATTCTTCAGGCCATTCACTCAACACACTTCCCTTGTAATTCTAAATTCTCCGATTGAACCACTCAATCTGTTTAATTGAATCCTCCAACCCTCCTACTGCATTCCCTCCCACTTCTTGCGGGTGGAAAGGTGCGCGCCTCTCATGCCAATAGCAGATGCCCCAGCCTTCGGCCAGTGCGGTGCCCGTACTTACAACCTGAGCGTAACAAGAGCCCGAAACAAGACTGCACTATGTGCTATCCGTGAGACACATCCCAATCCAATCAATTCATTTTTAAGTCCTCGATTTTCATCTTTCAATTGATTTAATTCAACATAACCTTCTTCAATTCGTTCTTTAAACCTTTCTTCATTCGATTTCATATCTCTTTCATATTCAATTTGTAATAAACTCATCTTTTTCTAAATTCGATTCCTTAGAAGAAACTCTTAAAGATTCAAGTTGATGAGTCAATTCAATCAATTGATTCTTCAATTCACTTCCACCACCTCCTGAAGAGCTTCCAGATTTTTGAAGTTCACTACATTCGGTTTCTAAATTCTCAGTCTCTTCTTTATATTTTGTTAATTCATCTTTCATCCTTCTTAACATCTTTTCAGTTCCTTTAACATATTGAATAGCTTTGAGATGAGTTTGTTCTAAAGTCCGATTTCTTTCTTGAAGTCAATGTAATTCTTCTTCTACTTTTCCTTGTTGTGCTGTCCCTGGTTGTGTTGTACCTCCTTCAGCCAAAGTTGATGAAACTGATGTAGCTCCACCTGATCTTGATCTTTGAACTTCTTGTACTAATGAAGCGTGAATCCAGAGACACGGCAAAGACTCTTCAGTCCATAATCAATCAACCCATCTCACTTGTTCATGATCATGATCTTA